GGGGGGGGGGGTACTCCAAACGTCATGATTACCTAATCGACCCAAGATTTCGGATCTGGTTACCAATTTAGGTTGTCTCGAAAATAAAGGGTATTCATGAAGTATGATCCCACTCTAATTTAGGGCTCTTTGGCTCAAACGGTTTAGGAAGTACAAATACCAAAAATTTTGAGGCAAAAACTGCGTCCTTGAAGTTTGAAGTGAGGTCAAAACTGACTACACCATTGGAAAGAGATTTAAAAAACTGATTCAAAACCAACCATGCTGCGAAAAGGTGGATTTTTGTTTCCTACCCCTCGATCAAATATATCAAAAAAAAAAAATAGCAGAATGTTGTAACTCTCATAACCATAATAGATAGTCTTCAACTGTCACCAAATTTGGTTTGCAGCTTCCCTTAAGGTCCCTTAACACTAGAAGGACCGGAGGGGTCAAAATGACCCCTTTTGATTTTTAATTGCCAAAGGAACAACGAATTATTTTTTTGATCGATCCATCACTTTCCGACTTTTCATGTTCTACCGAAAGACGCTTGGACGCAAAATAGGAGGTCTCTGCGACATGAACTTTCGGAGATATTACTACTTATACCTAGAAGGACCGACGGGGTCATTTTGACCCCTTCTTGAGATTTTATATGTGTAAACTGACGAGGACTTACTTTTCCACCATAAGGCTGACCGTATTTGTTATGTACGGTGGCTTATGACTTTTGGTCGGCCATGTGACACTTTTTAACTCCTTCATTCGGCGGAGGTAGGCAACACGCACGTCACAAAACCCCGTTTCTAAATTACAACATATCCAAGGCTTTAGTGGTAGTTGCGTCACCGGACTCGTGTTCTGATGGCAAAGGGGGGCTTCTAGCACAAAGTACGGATGGTTTTGCGAATGCCAAAACTGCTACGCACATTGTTGTCAGTGCCAAATAGGAAAAAATGTAATGTTTTTGTGTGAATCACATTCCCGCTTTTAGAGTACTTATGTGTTCTAAAGATCACGTACTTATATATGAGTACTAAGTCGGATATTAATTTTGAAGTTTAAAAATGTCTAAAATCGTGCGAACAGTTGCCAGAAATAGCTGTAAATTGCAAAAAAAATGGTTTTCTGTCGTGCGGGTTGCCTACCTAAACGCACTTTAAACCTAACCAATGTCACGTCACGGCATCAGGTACCTTGAAACACACAAAACCTTAATCATGTGCGATAAAACGGCCCTAAAAACAGCCAAAAATCGTAGAGGGGTCAAAATGACCCCTCCGGTCCTTCTAGGTATACGAAAATCCCGGTCCTTCTAGTGTTAACACAGCAAAAGAAAACTGCACCCTTGTCGTTATTGACATAGGTAGTAGCAGCACCTGTGTATCTATCATGGAAATCCAGCCACGCCACGTCAAAGTTATCGGTTCCAGTGAACGTCGTTTACAAGGTGGTCAAAGTGTTGATGAAAAGTTATTTGCACGTTTTGAGAAGGTACTGTATAAACACGTTTTTGCTATGTTTTTTAGTGAATTCTTTACGTAATACATTTTTAAAAGGGATCATGTTGCTGTTTTCAGGAATACAAACGACAGACAGGAAAACTGTTCCAGAAAAAGCAGTACATCATGCTTAAATGTCGACAAATAAAGGAAGAAATATGTGAAGAAAAGGGAAACGTGTCTCGTGAATATACTGTGTCAGACGGAGAAAATACTATTTCCGTAACTATGACGAAGAAAGATGTTACTGATTTTTGCAGTGACCTAGTAGACCTGGTGGTCAACGAAATGAAAGACCTTCTAATGTTATTTGAGGTACGAATTGAAATGAACCGAATTAAGTTGACAAAGTAATACTACTGAAGTATCAGAGTGCAAACGACGGGTGCTTCACACGGGAGGCCTGTCGTTCACACTGTTCTCCAGACAGCACTGTCTGTTAAAAACCTCAACATTTCAATTTTAAAATTGAACTTGGGTCAAGGACACTAAAGTTGTCCCAATGACGAGTTTAAAATACAGTGCAAATGATGCTGCATTCTATATTTTAGGTGGAGTGTGCAGACGTGGGCTGCGTCCTCATAGTGGGTGGTTCGAGCCGCATTCCCCTCTTAAGGGAATGCGTGACAGAATCGTTTGACGACAAAGCAACTTTAATTCACTGTGTCAATCCGGAGGAAGCCGTGGTGAAAGGTGCAGCCCTTATCGGCTCGAATACTGTCACTCTGCAAAATGTCCTTAATGTCACCACAGTGGTGAAGACTCCTACGACATCTACCACTATACCACGAGGAACTCCACTGCCCTATAAAACTGATTCTGTTTTCTGCAACAGCGGCAATGTTGAGGTAATAGCCATTGATTGATTCGTAATCTTAACACTCAATACGTTGCACATTCAAACAAAGGCAACGACACAATGAAGCCTTTTCCACAGTGAGGAGCGTGTGACATCAAAACGCTCGAAAGTGCTTAATATAATTAAAATAGCTTCAGCCAGTTCACCCCAATCCTCCGTCTAGGCGCGAGGGGCTCTCCCCCACCCCCCACCCTATTCATCTCTGCTGTCCTCCTGCCACCGTGGGTGTAGGCGAGGGCGAAGAAGTGGCACCGGTCTGCGCCGGCAGCGTGCTCTATCGGCGGCTGCTGGCTATGCCGCCACGCAGAGCTCCTTTGTGCTATATGTGGGAGACATTAAGGACACTGTAAAAAATGTTGGGAATTCTACTATACGCATGTATAGGAAATTTCCTATTCATCGTATCGGAAGTGAAAATTCCTATAAATGTATAGGAATTTTCCTATTTGGGAAGATGTGTATGGGAAAAGTACCAAGTGTATAGGCAAATCCCCAGAAATGTATGGGAAAATTCCGATACGTGTCTGGTAGGCATATTTTCCTTAATATGTATAGGAAATTTACTAGATGATGACAATTTTCCTATACAATGTTAGGAATTTAAAAAACGGGTAAAGATATGCACATCTTCCTACCTTTCACATCTTGGTCGGTGCGGTCATTTTATGAGCTTATTTCTGACGCCTGACGCCACACTACACAGGATTGGACACATTTAGGGTCTTTTTAGAAGTTTAAACTCTAATAATCGAATTTCAAGTCAGGGCAGGCAGTATAATTCAAAACTTGACATCAAAACATCTAGGAGTAAATCCCCAAAGCCGTGGGCTAGCCCCGGCACCGCGCCGACACCTGGCTGACCCTCTGGGAATGGCCCAGCGAGGAGCGGCGCGCGGCTCTGGGATGACCCGGGGTTGGTGGGGCACGCCTCCCAACAAGTCCCCGTGGTCTAGTGGTCAGCGTGACGGGATCGCAAGCCAGAAGTCCGAGGTTCAACTCTCCATCCGGTAAGGTATTCCATAATTGTATCAATGCTCACTTACTTAAATGAAATTACCGAAAGGCGGCAGGAAGGCGACAAGGAACGAGGAAAAACGGCGGGGAAGTGGTTGAAAAAAACTTTTTCTTTTTTGAAAGAGCATCGGGTCTATAGAAAAATTCCTATACATGTGTAGGGATAATGCCAATCACACATAGTACATATCCTACACAGGTGTGTAGGAAAATTCCTATACTTGCATGGTAAGAATACTAACGCGTATGGTAGAATTACCACACGCCTGTATGGGAAAATTCCTATACATGTATATGTGAATTGCTGCAGATACATTTATAGGAAATCTACCATAGAAATTTTTTACAGTGGAGGGGGAGGGGAAGGGGGAGAGGGTCTTCGCTTTAACCTCTGATGGACAGTCTTGAGAACTGTCTAAAAGAATATTTTCGCGCATTTTTATGTGATTAATTAATTAATATCTCTGGGCAAGATAGAAAGCGCCTATTCAACGGGGCAGGGTTGAATCAGGACCGAGCTTGGCAGGTGGCAGCTTTCCAGCCAAATAGATTGTTTTCATAGTTCGCCATTATTCCTTCAAATTAATTCATATAGAGTGCAGGTGGAAGGCAAACACTCATACTTGTGTGTCGGAGCAGTGACACACACCGCAAAATATCTTATAGCCAGAAAATTAGTAAATTGTCTACTGACTTGTTGTTCCACCGAAATATGGACCGTCAATATTTCTTACTGTTCCAGGTAATACAATACAGCACGGTATATTCGCAGGGCCACGACGATATAGAATGTGTTAGTGGACTGCAAATTGACGAAAGTGGTTTCATTGATCTGTTGGGTTTTAATGGAGAAGAATTGAATATTTGTCCAAAGAATTGTCTCGGAGAAATCAGGAGAGTGGAGTCTGCTATGAGAATGCAGGCAGTGCTCAGAGAGATAGAAACAAAACCCATGGACGGATTTCAAAGTAATCCTATAGACTCTATGAAGACAGCAGAAGACATAGAGTCTCTGAATCGGCAGCGTGCTACTAAAGCAGGTGTGTAATTGTGAAATTATTGCCCTAATGACACATTGCATTGATCTGCACTTGTGCTTAACTGTGTAGTTGCGCAGTTAAAAGTATTCAACATCGCGCCTAGCGCTAAACAAGCAGTCGCGTGCTTGCATGCTTCTAAATATTTAGTAGCACAGCTGACCTTCTATATAAAAAAATACATTGTCTCAGGTTTTACTATGCAGTAATTTTTTATTTTCGTTTTCAAAGAAATTAAAACGTCGACACCTCTTCGTGCTGGTCCTAACCACGCTTCAAAGTCATCTTGGTCATTTTCGTCTATAAGTCGCAATGCAGAGAGCACCAGCACCGGTCATTCACAGGATGAAAATTTCATGCTCCAAGGTGAGAAACCTAAATTTGATTGGTACTGGGAGAAAACAGAGTTGAATCTCAGTGCACAAATTATTGAACTATAGTGATCTTTATATGAAGTCGATGGTATGAAATTCTTCACACTGTAAAAAATGTTGGGAATTTTACCATACGCATGTATAGGAAATTTCCTATAAGTCGTATGGGACGTAAAAATTCCCATAAAAGTATAGGAGTTTTCCCATACGCGAAGATTGTATGGGAAAAATCCGAAGCGAATAGGTAATTTGCCACAAATGTATAGGAAAATTCCCACACGTGTCCAGGAGGCACGTACTACCACACATGTATAGGAAATTTAATAGACGATGAAAATTTTCTTACACACAATTTAAAACGGATTGGCACATACGAGTTCATTTGCCTTGCGCATCTTTGTCTACTTGGTCATATGATGATCTTTTACTGACGCCTGACGCCACCATGGTTTTGTTTACCCTTGCCGGAGCCGGCATTTGAGGCTCAGTTAATAAAAAGAAACAGATTGTTTTTAAATATGACATCCGATGCGTGGTCCAATGCGAGGTCAGGGCGCAAAATCGCATCGTAGTTTGTATTTTATTATGGAGTTTTACATCCAACTGGTTAGGCCGGACAGCTAAAATGTCGATAATAGAAGTCAGGGCGGGCAGTGAAATACAAAACCCAGCACCAAAACACCAAGTAGGAAATCCCTCAGTGCCGTGGGCTTGCCCCGGCGCCGCGCGCTGCCCGCCTCCGCCACCTGGGCGACCCTCTGGGAATGGCCCAGCGAGGGGCGGCCGCGCGGCTCTGGGATGACCTGGGGATAGTGAGGCAGTCCTCCTAGCAAGTCCCCGTGGTCGAGTGGTCAGCGCGACGGGTTCGTAAGGCAGAAGTCCGAGGTTCAACTCTTCGTCCGGGAAGGTATTTCATCACTACTTCAATGCTTACTTACATGCAATTACCGTAAACTGAAAGGAAGGCGAGAAAGAAAGGGAGAAAACCGAGGAAAAAGAAAGAAGAAAACTTTTTTTTTCTATTTTTAAATGTATCCGATGTATAGGAAAATTCCTATACATGTATAGGAAAACCACTACACCGGTGTATAGGAAAATTCCTATACTTGTATGGGAGAATTACTATTCACGCATGGTAGAACTCCGACATACGTGTATGGGAAAATTGCCATACATGTATATGTTAATAGCGTTATAGACATTTATAGGAAATCTACTATAGAATTTTTTTACAGTGCATGATATGAAAGAAAAGTTTGCGTTATTATTCATTTGAAGTAAATGGTCGATTATAAAACTAATGACTGCAGGTATTTGTTATCCTACAGTGGAACAAAGTTCATGTAAAAAAAGACGTGGAGTTACGAAAGCATTGTGTTATTGATCACGCATAGTCAGTCAAGTGACTTATCTGTACTATTCATTTGCAATTTTACAGATGGTTCATTCGATGGATTCGAGCATCCTATGATGGGATTCAAAAACCTGGGGAATACATGCTACATAATTGCAGCCCTCCAGGTAATTGATTATTATCATGTATTGCAAATAAATACACTGTAATCCCAACTGCGTACATAGTACGCTCTTCCTTGTGAGTGCCATGCCACGCACTTACTACCTTGTGTGTGCCATGCCATGCACACACTTCCTGGTGTGTGCTTTCATGTACACAAAAGGAAGAGTGCACTTTGTACACAGTTGGGTTTACAGTGTATCTTTGCACTTCCGTGTTTATAAACTTGCAGCATGGTCTTCCGCAATTACATTGTACGCATGGAGGCCGACTTTGAGCCCTGAGACCTTTTCGACGCGTCCTAACAACAATGTTCTATCTGCAGCGTGCGGATTACACAATGTTCTATCTGCAGAGTGCTGTTTACACAATGTTCTATCTGCAGAGTGCGGATTACACAATGTTCTATCTGCAAAACGGGGTTAGGCGCAGCCCTTCACCTTTGTGTGGTTTGCAAGTAACTGGAAGACATTAAGGCCAATCTGAGC